AGATCTGAGGATCTCAGTTCAAAGCCAGCCCGGGCAGGAAAGTCCCTGAGACTCTTATCTCCAATAAACCACTAGAAAACCAAAAGTGGATCTGTGACTCAAATGGTAGAGCTCTAGCCTTGAGCTGAGGGACAGTGCCCAGACCCAGAGTTCAAGACCCATGACTGACAAAAGCAAACAAAACAAAAACAAAACAAAAACTAGCTCGTGTTGATGGGTATGTGGAGGAAAGGAGCCTGTTGCACTGCTGGTGGGAATGTAAACTAGTACAACCTCTCTGGACAGCAGTCGTGGTTCCTCAATAAACTAAACATATGGGGCTGGGAAGGTGGCTCAGTGGTAGAGTGCTTGCCTTGCATGCCTGAGGCCTTGGGCTCTATTCCTCAGCACCACATAAGCAAAAAGAAAAAAGCCGGAAGTGGCGCTGTGGCTCAAGTGGTAGAGCACTAGCCTTGAGCTGAAGAGCTGAGGAACAGCACCCAGGCCCAGAGTTCAGGCCCCATGACTGGACCCCAAAAAAAAAAAAAAATGGCCAGGCATTGTTGGCTCATGCTTATAATCCTAGCTACTCAGGAGGCTAAGATCTGAGGATCGGGGTTTGAAGCCAGCCCAGGTAGGAAAGTCCATGAGACTTACCTCCAATAAACCACCAAAAAACCACAAGTGGCACTGTGGCTCGAGTGGTACAGTGCTAGACTTGAGCTTAAGAGCTGAGGGACAGCTCCCAAGCCCAGAGTTCAGGCCCCATGACCCACCAAAAAAAAAGAAGAAGAAACTGAAACTAGCTAATAGCACCTATTTAATGTAGCCAAAAAACATTCCATCAGGTAATCAATATCAAAAGGTTATTAATGAAATATTTGTGTGCTGTATTTTTGAATGTTCATGTATCTCATGTCACATTTCAGTTTAGACTGGCCAAATTTCAAATACCAAGAGTCATGTATGATTAGTGAAAGAGAAAAAGTTACCTAGGTGAGAGACAAAACATGCTCAAACCACAACTCCTCAAAATCTGGATCCCAGAGCAGAAAGGGTAGAACCTGATCATAATCAATGCTTGGTGAATCCTTGTTTAATCGAAGTCAGTGTAAACAGCTACCAGAGTTAGTAGCTCCTTACTGATCCTTTACACATTGAAAAGATCTTTATTTCCTCTGAGCTGAGTCATAGAGGTTTTGGCATTAAACTGATGCCAAGGATCCCAAGCTGTAAGAATTGGTCCCAAGTATTCCCTCAAGTAACTTCTCTTTAGAGAACTCCTTAATTCAAGCAATATCACAGTATAGAATTACTGTAGATGCTATAAAAGCATCTTTTCACGCCTTGCCAGTTTAAAACAGATTCCCCAAGCCGGGCGCTAGTGGCTCACGCCTGTAATCCTAGCTACTCAGGAGGCTGAGATCTGAGGATCGCAGTTCAAAGCCAGCCCGGGCAGGAGAGACCGTGAGACTCCT